CGTGTCGACAGATGACGGCACTTAGCTGAATCCCACTCACCAACCTCCAACCCAGGCATTGCCCTTTGCTGAGTGATCACACACCTTTCCTGTTTGCAGCCTGCATCAGACGTTCCATGTGAGGGTATAAGCCTTAGCCACCATTCTCCAATTTGGGACAACTCTGCAAGGACATTTCAGCACCAAATATTCTCATGGGATAATCTGAGCCTTTGTTGTGACTACATCAGAGCCAGACTTTTCCTTCAGCTTTATCCTACTTTCTTCATTTCCCCACAGGCCCCAAGAACACCCCCCATTAAACTTCCTGCAACGAAATTTAGTCTCAGAGTTTTCTGGAGAAGCATAACCTCTCACATAACATGTTTTTTAATTTTAAAACTCTTAGTTTACCAGAGCTAGAATGATGTCAAATCTCATCTATTTTTTCTTCCTTAAGTCTAAACCAATACCACATTACCATATTTAGACCAGAGGACTTAATGTAGAAATTGAATCCTGCTATTAAGACTTAGGTGAACTTTTTTTTCTTGACAATAGAACATTAAAGTCTGGATTCCACACAACTTTTCTTAACCTATATAAGTAGCTTAATCCCTTAACACTTCATTCTCCATTACTTCCTCTCCTAGTATGACTCAGATATTTCATTGTTAAACCCACAGAAATAATGACCTCTGCTTGCAGAATGAAAAGAAAAGAATAATATACTGGTTTCCCATAGAAATGTTTTGAATGAGGGTGAACCTTCATGATTTTTAAAATTCATTTGTTTCTTTGATTTCTAGAGTACATTTTCTTCAAAGGTTTGAAACTCAAAAGGAGTTTTTAACTTTCTCCTTTTCCAATTCTCTAGGTTTCTCCATGTAAAAGTTCTGTAATTAGGAGGATAGGCCAGATACTAGTAACCCTACTTCCTGTTTTATTTTTCTTTGTTGAGAAAACTACATACAGTACTTTCAGAAAGATGAAGTAAATAGGGCTGGTTCCAAACTCAATTGTGAAATAAAGTTTGTTCATGATGAACCTCTAGCCTTTTGTGGTAGACTCTTTCCCTTTGTGGTTTCTCTTCCCCAACTCTGGGGCCTTCTCAGCCCACTGCCAGCTTCCTGCCCACCCCTCCTCTCAGCACCCTTCTCCTTCATTCAGCTTTCCCTGTTCTGCTGTTCTCCATTCATGACCCAGAACCAGTTTGATGGCTCCCATGTTGCCTATTGTCACTACAACAGAAATGCCCCTGGTCTATAATATAATGTCCCTGCTCATCACCCAAGGCCCACTTTGCTCTCTTAGGAGACAATTTTGCCTGGCACTCTTGTAGTTGATTAGTAAGTACTTAAGTGGATGAGTGTATGAATAAATAAACTGCTCTCTCAATACACCAGTTAGCATCCCTCTTACCTCCACCACCCCAGGCATATATATACTAATAGGGGCCTGATAAAAACAGCATACCTTCCTTTGCAGCATGACCAAACTAGGTGAGTTGGGGGAGGAGTCCCATGACAGGTGGTTGCTAGAGTATTCTATTAACTATGCACTTCTGGTGCTTCACATCTGGGGCTTTGCTGATGCTAGAGAGATTGTTCCTCCCAGAGCTAGCCAATTCCTAGAGAGAGTAAACAACTCACCTGTTAGAGCAAGCATGTCAAACTGGCAGGCATGTGGCCCACCAGCCACGAGTTTGACATGCTTGTGAGTGTCTTTCAAATGCAAACCAACCAATCCATAGCCCATATTCCACCCACCTCCTTTACCGAGCTCTCACAGGGCTCGCACACTGGTTCATCATCCACCTGCCCTAATCACCAGGCCCAGATTCCAGACAGCTTAGGACAGCTCTCAGGACTCAGAGCCTGATGAAAGGATTCAAACCAGCCAATCTTGCTTACCCCTGCCTGCCTGTTTCCTTCTGCAGAAACCACGATAAAGGCCCATATTTTCTCTCTGCTCCTTCTGCCTCCTGACCAACCATACTGCCCTGGGAACATCACATGTTCCCTCCTCTTGGGAACTGTAACAAACTGTCTTTTCAATAGCATTTTCCTCCTGACCTGTTAATAATAATAAAACCTACATTTTTAAAATTTACCTCAACTACTTCACTAATCTCAAGTGGGAGGTCTGATTTTTTTAAGAGCCTGAAGAAAGCGTCTTCTTTGCATAAATTCTGAAATTAGAGAAATGACTTTTACTCAGAGAAGGCAGTGTAGTATTAAATAAAACATAAAAATAATGACAGACTTTACTTAATATACATTATCACCCTGGGGTCTCAAAAAAAGACTGTGAATTATTGTATTCTTCTCAATGACTGAAGTTCAAAGATACAAAGTGGTTTTCTCCAGGTCACAGAGCCACATACACAGACGAAGTGAGACTCAAACACAAACTTTCCCAGCAGTCCTCTGACTCAGGCTCTGCTCCCACTCCTTCCTCTATCATAGTCTTCCCAAACTTCCAATATCTTTTACAAAGTTTTCTTGCATAACATCACTGTTTCCTTCAGACTTGAAAGAAAAAGTATGGCAGTCTTTCCAACTTGGGCCAATAAATGATTCCACAATAAAAAAAATATGGCTGAGCTATATCTAAATCTTTCAATAATAATCCAGTTTTGGGGAGATGAATGTAGAGTTTTAAGAGGATATTACCAAAAAACAGAGATTATCAATAAATTACAGGAGTTTATAATACTAAGTCTGACCTTTAGTGAATTAATTAGAACCTTTACAAATTTTCTTTCTGAAGAAGTTCCATTCTCTGATCATGAGTCCCCAGAACTACAAAGAACAGGATTGGCTGAGAAGACAGGAAAAAACACCTTGCAGTTTTGGAAAGACATAAACTGAAAAGAAATACTGAAATTCACTACCATAAAGATGAAAATAAGCATACAAAAGATAATATAAAATCAAAGTGCTATTGAATGCCATCAAGCAGCAAAATGTACATAAAGATGTTAAAACTTGCCTGGCTGGCATGGCTCAGTGGTTGAGCATTGACCTATGAACCAGGAGGTCACAGTTCTATTCCCGGTCAGAGAACATGCCTGGGTTTGCGGCCCAATCTGGTCTGGGCACATGCCTGGATTTGGAGTTCAATCCCCAATGTGGAGCGTGCAGGAGGCAGCATATCAATGATTGTCTCTCATCATTGATGTTTCTCTCTCTCTCTCCCTTCCCCTTCCTCTCTGAAATCAATAAAAATATATATATTTTAAAAAAGATGTTAAAACCTATGTGGTCAGTGTTCAGCAGTTAATGGGAAGAAAACTTCAAGTATAATAATTGAAAAATTAATCCAATATTGAACAAAATATAGTTGGTGAAAATTTATTTGTTAGCATTCACCAAATTACTATATAACAGTTTGGAATTTCACTGTTTTATACAAGAAAGAGGAAAGGAAGAGAGAGAAATAATCAAGTGAGTCAAATGATTTGGAACTTTAAAAAAATATTGCCGAAAGAGATGGATTGTGAATGAGGAGAAAAGAGAACTGGATAAGGGGGCTGAAGAGCAACCAACAGGAGGTCGAAGTTGCTATTTGGAGATGGTGATTGGCAGCTGTTAAGAATTTCCACAGAGTGTGGCTAAGAAGAAACAAGCTTGTGTGCCTGGGGGACCTCAGCTGGATATCAGGAAGAATCGCTGACTGTAAATGTCAAGAGCTCTGGTTTTCAGGATCAAAGGGAGGCTTCTGGGATGTGCCTGTCCTTGGAGTATTTTTCAGCCTCAAGCAAGAGACTGTTTGGGTGGTTTTCTGCAGGCCTGTGGATAGACTGGATGGCCTGCTCAGACTCCGCAGGTCTCATGTTGCTGAGAGGTGTGTCAAACACAGCTGCTTTCACAGTGTCCTTGCCAGCTGCTGACTCCCAGCTCAGGGTCTGAAGGAACAACTAAGTCTTTCACTCTCTGTTCCTCCCTTGGACCAGTCCTTAGGAGTATACTGTGGTTTTCAGCCCTTGAGCACTTAGGTGCTCTCCTTCTGAGCCAAGGGCCTCCTGGGAACAATGGAGCATCTGTGTGTTGACAGTAACAGCCTGTGAGCCAGAGACACTTGGCCAAGCTCTCCCGCCCACATGGCTGGATTGCACACCTCACCTGCAATAATCCGTGCTTAGTCAGCACTAGCCTGCCCCAGGGCCAAGTGCCCCGCTCCTCCTACCCCTTCCCCAACCTGTTACCTGATTTGAGTCTGAGCAATTTGGCCACATTTATACTAATCCTCACGCAGGATGGTCTCTACTTACCTCCTATCCCACCCACGGAGTGGCTCATAGCCTGACACCAAACAGTAGGCACCAAAGGGTGAGGTACCTACTGCTTAGCTGGGCAGCTGGGTATTTACAAAAGGTTTGCAAAGAGATGCCAGTCTTTTCCTATAACATCATTGCCTTTTATTTATTATGCAGTTGTTGATTTACATGGGGAGTTGGGAACACAAAACAAGCAAAGACTTTTACATGGTCTGTTTCTGCTGAGTTCAGAACCTTGGGAACATCATTTGACTTCTGGCAAAAAGACAGTTCCACAAAGGTGTGTAAAACCCTTTTGTTCTTGGGCCCAGGGGGATAGGTGCTTATGAGGAAAGTAGAGTTTCAACCCTTATAGAGAAGAAACTATGTTGTGTGTAGGTCATGTGCAGTGTCCAAGTTCAATATTAAATGACAAATCAGGACAATTTCCTTTGAGCCATGCCTCTTCATGCTGGTGTCACAGTATGTATTCCTCTTAAAGCCTCCACCCAGTGGTATCATAGTGGTACTACAGCATTTGGGTCTACATGGTATGAATGCATAAGAGAAAATTGCACGGGTAGTGAGAGAATATAGGCAAATTAAAAGAAAGGACAAGGAGAATAAATGAGATTTTAAGGAACAAAATGGAGGGGTGTGTGTGTGTGTGTGTGTGTAGGGCCTGGTGATTTTGTTGTTTAGTGTCCCTGAGGTTTGAGTTGCCCCTCTTCATTCAGCATGAAGTAGATGCATGAAGTAGATGCTTGTTGGTATGAGGAAGTATTGGGGGAAAATTAGAGTTCCACCTTTTGAGTCTTTTCTTCTGAGTCATGATTTTCACTCTGAAAAATGCCAAGACATGATATTTAGATTTGGAGTCCACCCCTGGAAGTCCTAAATCTACCTGCAATTTTTGTCTTATGAGCTCTTTATATGGAATTTGTTTCCTATTGATATTGTACATAGAATGGTGAAATACAGAATTCAGCTCTTTTTGAATAGGCAAGACCTTTCCCAAAACGCTTTTGCAGTTCTATCTCCATGACTATCTCCTAAAAAGCACCCCAACTCTGTCTACTGTGTCCTCATATACCTTTGTTCTTAATCAAATCCAGTGGAGCCCAAAGAGTTTTTATTCAATAGGAATAATAGAGACATAGAAAGGAAGAACATTCAACTTGCCTTCCCTGTAGTCTCACACTTACCAGCCTTTTCCCTTTTAGGAATCCATCACAAAAGTTTTGCACGCCCTCTATTGAAACTTCTGTCACGTGCAGTGTATCCCACTCCTCATCTAGAGTCCGGTAAATTGCCAAAGCGGGCAGTTCAGATTTCTTTAGTTTGAAAAATGATATCATCTTCCCATTTTCCTTCACACCACTGTCCACCAGAATAAAAAGTATCTGCAGTTGGAGAAGTTTGAAAGAGAAAGATCTATCTGAGGTCCTGAGGAGATAGAGGTACCTTGTAATGGTAGCAGTTTATTCTGATTGAATTTATGGTTTGTGCCACACAATTTAAATCTCAATTGACTCAGAATGGCTTTGTTCTTGCTTTGCATTGCTTAAGTATTTTACCCCTTTGATCAGATTGATTCAATTTTAAGAACACAGACTTGGAAGATACTTCAGTGATTAACTTTAAGAACATAGACTTGGAAGATACTTCAGTGATTAACTTTAGTGATTAACTAAGTAGAGCCTAGTGGTTAAAAGTGGAGAATAAATTTTAAATTTTGCTTCTGGTACTTTTTAGCTGTGTGACTCAGAGCACATTACTCGGCCTCTCTGAGACTCAGTGCTCTCATGGGCAAAGTGGGCTTTTGTTGGGGGAGATTAAATGAGAGGATGCATTTAGTATTTCCAGTACAGTTTTTGGCATACAGCAAGTGCGTGACAAATGTTAACTATATTTTTTATGATAAAATAAAACCCTCTACCAAAAGTAGAAATCTTCTTTATAATATTTTGGTTAGAGGATTATCTATATTCAATAACACTGAAAACTTACAGTGTTATAGAAACAACCACCAGAAGGTCAGCTTATTTAATCATTAGACAGTTCTTACCATTGAACAGGTCATGTAGTTCAATATAGTAACCTTGAAGGTGTTGAAGTTTTCCTTTTAAGTGATATTAAATAGAATTGCACAGAGTAGGGAAGAGAAATAAATAAATATTTATTATCCATTAGGCACCAGGTACTGGACATTCATTAAGCACCAAGTACATGAAAGGTGATCGATATGAGAAATAAGTCCTGAGGTCTAAAAATGTAAGGGATCATGGCAAGGAGAAAAATATTGTAGTACATAGGTGATTTTTATTTTCACTTCTCAATGTAGAAAAAAAAACAATAGACTTTACCACTAATGGAAGATATAATTATACAGGTCTTAAATAGTACAAAATATAACATCTTTAATTTTAAATCAGAGTAATGTGATTTATTATGTCCCAGTTAATATTTTATCTCTTAACCATACTAGTTTTCCTTATTTATCTCACTTCCCTAACCCCGTCTGCCTTTTTCTACTGGCCTGGTGCTGAGTTTTCAAAAGGATATCTCCCAAAGAAGACTTACCTTCCCCTGGAAGAGCTTAGCTGCCTTGTGGTATCTGTGCAAGCTTTCTTCATACTCTGGGGAGGCCTTGTCCATCATCAGGAGAAGATGAATCTGAACCATGCTATTAAATAGGCCAATCACAGTCTGGCAAATTGAAATGCATTATAGTAGAATGAAAGAGAGAGGGAGAAAGCAAAAACCATTAGTGGTCACCCAGGGACTAGGCGAACTACAACATAAATGAGAGTTGTTCATCCATAACACAAATGGTAACTAGTCTCTAAGATGGCTGACAGTAAGGTTCACCCTCTGGTTCTCATGCAACTGTGCTGATCCCTTTCCCCCACACCGAGTAAGGCTGAGTGGAGTAACCAAGGGCATATTGCAGAAATGATGGAGTGTGACTTCCAATGTTGTCATAAAAGACATCATGGTTTCTGCCTTGCTCTTGCTAATATTACTCACTCTGGGGAAAGCCAGCCCCAATGTTGGAGAGATCCACAGGGCAAGGGACTGAGGCCTCCTATTAACAGCCAGCACTGATTTGCCAGTCTTTTGATCCAACCATCTTGGAAGCAGATCCTCCAGCCTCAGTCACATCTTCAGATGACATTGCCTCCCTGATCAATGATTGTAACTGCACAAGACACCCAATTCAAAAGCAGAAATATCCTACCTAGTTGCTCTCTCTCAGTCTAGCCACTCCCAGACTGTTGATCCACAGAAACTGTGTCTAATAAATTTTTACTGGTTTAAGCTGCCAAGTTTTGGGATAATCTATTATGTATCAATAGACAGCAGATATACCATGTACTATACTAGTCACTTTGACTACATATTAGTAGTGCATTCTTTGAGTGCCTATTAGTTGCTGTGCACTGTTTTCAGGTTTCTACATAACGACTTATTTAATCCTCTAAGTCCCAGTTTCATAAATGAGAAAATTGAAGCAAAAACTCTACCAAAGTCACATAAATGGTGGACTTGGATTAATGCCAAGCCGTCTGACTCCAGGGTCTGTGCTCTTAACCATCAGGATGTACTGCCTCATCCACAGCTGATTACAAAGCCCCAATCTGAACCAGTTCAACCCTCAGTGTGATTGAATCGGTTTACTTTGGGTCAGCAATACAATGAGCTTTTCAGGAGATCAGAGGTGTTGGCCCTTTTTTGCTGACTCACCAGGAAGCTGTCAGTGATGAAGGGGGTGGGATAGCCCTGAGCCAGAGTGAGGAAAGGAGGGGGTGAAACCAGGGCACTGCTTCCCTTCATTTCACTTTCCTGAAATAGTGCTACAGGTGTCTTTGTTTTAAATGAATCCCATTCCTTTCCACCTCTTCCTTTAAAATACAGAAAGCATTGCTGTAAAACCAGCACGTACACAGGAAGGGAGAGTATGGGGGTTAATGAACCATTGGGCAGAGTCCCAGGACGGTGGGAGGGGGAGCAACTAGGTAGGATCTTTCTGGAAGCTGTACATTGCTCCGTAGAGATTCTCTAGGTCTCTTGGCCAACATGTTGACAAAGGAGGCCCAATGAGTTCTTTTCCCCAAATTTCTCCCTATAGTTTAAAACCAGTTCTTAGATTTAAAGTTGGGGAGACTTGGTGTTAAAGAATTGTCTTTTGTTTGATTAGATTCTGCTACTTGAATTTAGAGCATGCATCTATCCTCCTAGAGCATACATAGAGGATGATTCTTGGGAAGAGTCAAGAAATCAAAACTAAGGAGTTAAAAGGTACCGTTGTCTTAGCAGAAGGGATTGGACATATCAGAAGTGATTAGTTTAATTCTAATAGACACAGCCTGGTTTTTCGCCTTGAAGCCAAGGATTGAGTATGTGCATTAAAAGTGCATGGCAGGCCAGACACATGGCTGGGAGTTTCTGTCCAGTTGCTACTGATGCAAACCTTGCACTGGAAACAGCTAAGACATAGCTATGTAGTGTGGGCAGGTCTCTAAGTGAGAAAAGTACTACTTTTGAGAAATGAAGACGTTACAATAAAAGTTAAACTTGCTTCTCTAAAGAAATTCTTATTTAATTTCTTCTTGATGTGGATTGCCTTCACTACTAATGTGAAACTTAAAAAAAAAGGGTATTATTCTCTAAGATAAGAGATGGACTAGGCATAAGAACTCAGGAAGGCTAGTCTTTGCCCCTGCCTTAGTTAGCCTGCAGAACTCCAGGACCCTGAGCCCATAAACTCAGAGACCATAAAATCAAATTTTCTGGTTCCACATGCATTCTTGGAATCTCTGTAGACACAATGGTGAGAACGACGATGGTCGAGAAAAACGCCCTTTTAATTATTGCTGCCAACACACCCTCGGTGCACGTGTTTGAAATCTTAGCAAACGTGGGAATGGAGTCACCACTCCATGGAGACAAACATGGTGTGAGAGGGGGGCAGGAATTTAGTCAACAGGAAAAGGGGTGTTTTCCACTGAAGGCTTTGTAGGGCAATGGAAAAAACACAGGATTCAGTCAGACAGACCAGTCATGAGGAAAGCAGGGGCAAGTGCAGAGGGCTGTCTCTGAAGCTCAAATTGCTAGGCATATGGCTTTGAGGAAATTACTTCACTTTTCTGAATTCCCATTTCCTGTCCTGTAAAATGGAAATAAACAATGTGAACGAATGTATCATGAATTAAAGTTTCTGCCTTTAATTATGCCTTTTCTACTTACAGTGGGGCCTTGACTTACGAGTGTCCCGACTAACGAGTTTTTTGAGATACCAGCTGTCTCTCAGCCGATTTTTTGCATTGAGTTGATAGAGTAATTTGAGTTAACAAGCTCCTTAACGAGCTCCTTAATGAGCTCGGTCTCGGAACAAATTAAACTCGTAAGTCAAGGCCCCACTGTACTAGGTGATCTTGAATAAGTTAGTTGGATCTTGAATGTTCTGTTCTATAAAATGGGCATAATAATTCCCTCTCTTCTACCTCAAAAAATCAATGTAAGGATCAAATGAGAATATGGTGGGAAAGGGCATTGTAAATTCAAAAAATCATGACATGCACATAAAATACTATGAATAGAGAATGCACAGCAATTCTAAGCTGATGTAGATCACTAGAAATTAATACTCCATCACTCCATGATCTCTTTTGGGGAAAATAAAAGTCAGGTCATATAAAGTAATTCTATAAGCTGTAGAGTGTTAGAAGGCCAGAAGATTATGAGGACAGGTTGACCAACACCTCTACCCAGGCTACATACAGCATGTAACACTACGAGAAAACAAACCTAGAAAGAAAGCTGAGCCATCATGAGGATCTAGGTACCCTCAAACCCATAAGGTTCTGGGTTCCTGCAGGTGGTGCCAGACCTGGAACTGTTAATTACTGGCCCACCAGGAGGTAGGCACAAAAAATGGGAAGAAGTGCATAAAAACGTTTATAGAAATTTTATATAACTGTGGCATCCAAATATGTGACAAATAGGCTTTATTTTAAAAGTTTTTTGCCTATTAATTTATTTTATTGCATTTTACAAAAGTATTGGCTCCTGATGCGGTAGGGGAAAAAATAGACCTTCAGCACAGATTACAATCTTGTTTGGGGAGTGTGGTCTAGAGTGTTGCTGGGATCAGAGTTGCCTTCATGGAACATTCTCAGGCAGCAAAACTCAGAGGTTTTTGAATCAGTCACCTTAACTTTGCACTGTGGCTTTCTTCCTTCTTAATCATGTGATAGGGCATTTAACTTTTCTGCTTCTTTCTTTCTTGAAAAGGGTCAAGTCTCTCAACCTGAAAGGTGTAGTAAGGATGACAACATAAACAGCTAGGTGTTCAATTGATTGCAGCTATTATTGGTCAAAGGATCAGAATCCTGAAAGAAAAGATCTCTGCTATGAAGACAAATCCACCCCCCTCTCTACCTCCTCCCTCCCCCCACCCCCCCCCCACACACAGGGGCCTTAGGACTATTGTTTACCACAGGGTTGTACTCTGTCACAAAGTGGAGACTGTTGATCTCAATAAAACGGCTTAATCTGGTGTCATCAATGTTTTCAATGTCTTCACTCTCTAAATTCAGTTGTTCATTATCCACCTGCATAACACAGAAATAATAATTGTCACTGTTCTCTTTATTTGTTCATTGACAAATGTTTCTGGAATATCTACCACGTGACAGGCACTGACTACAGCTCCAAAACCAGAAAGGTAAATAGGAAATGTTCCCTGCCCTGAAGAACACCCTGTCCTGTGGGATACAAAGTGAACAGACATGTCCCACAGGAGGTAGCAAGTGTCATCACAGGGGAATCACAGGCCTATGTGTCATCTGAGGAAGAGCAGAAATGCTTTCAGGAAGAGGTAGCTCCATTGGAAGGCATACATAAATGTGACATATAGAATATCTTATCATTCAGTTCAAAATGTTAAAATTTCTGTTCTTATTTCTTCTCTAAACTTTTGTTTATTTAGAAGTGTATTTTATAATTTGAAAGTAAGATTTTCTGGTTATTTACTTGTTATTAATTTCCAGCTTAAGTTTTACATTTTATATCTTTTGTCAACTTCTCTATATATTATATATGTCCTTAAAATTGTGTATATTCTACAGTTTTTGGGTGTACTATTCTGTATATGTACCTGTGGTCACATGGTTAATTGTATAGTTCAAGTTATCTCTATTCTTATTGATTTTTTAAAACCAGTTTATTCAATTAGAGAGAAATGTTAAAATCTTCCACTATGATTATAGATTTAACCATTTTTCTTACAATTCTGCCAGTTATTCTGTCTGTATATTCTCAGGCGATGCATTAGATTAATGCAAATTTAGAATTCTTAAAATTTCTGGGTAAGTTGAAACTTTATCATTATGAAGGTCATTCTTTATCTCTAAGGATGCTTGTCTCAATGGCTACTTTGTCTAATATTAATATACTTATTCCAGCTTTCTTTTGGCAATGTTTGCATGGTATATTTCTATCCTCTTTATATTTTATTTATATTACTGTGTCATAATGTTTAAAAATAATGTATCCCTTATAAAAAGCACCATTATATTTTAAAATCCAGTCTATATTTAATTGGATTCTTTTTGTAATGTAATTACTATATTTAATTAAATATTCATTTCCCCTTGGCTCTCCCAGTTCCAAATTCATTTGATTCATTTCTGGCCTATTTTGAATTGGTTGAGTGCTTTGTATTATTCCTTCTTTCCCTTTATGGGTTTGGAAATTGCACAGGCTTTAATTATTCTTTTAGGGATTACCAGCTTGCATTCTACAATATGCATTCTTTACTTACCTGAACCTAATGTTAATTGGAAATTTTACCCTCTTCTTGGACAATGTACAGTAGAACATTTTAGCACAGTTTGTCTCTTTCCAACTCCACTCCAGTTGTGTTTTAATTCTAAATCTCATAAGACATTATCATCATCCTATATAATAAAAGGGTAATATGCAAATCAACCGGTCACTATGACATGCAGTGACCACGAGGGGGCAGACGCTCAATGCAGGACCACAAGCTGGACTGACGGCTGGCGAGCACAGCAGCATCTGTGGCAGCACTAAGGAAGTCTGACTGCAGCTTAGGCCCTCTCCTGGGGGGCAGGCCTAAGCCGCAGTCAAATATCCCCCAAGGGCTTCCAGACTGCTAAAGGGCACAGGCTGGGTTGATGGGACCGCCCCCCCTCCCCCAGTGCACGAATGTTGTGCACCAGGCCTCTAGTTGTTATATAGTCAACATACATTTACATTCATGCATATATTTACATATTGTTTCTTTTCATTTCTTCCTGCATTTTTGAGCTTTGCTTCTATTTGGAATTTTTTCTCTTAACCTAGAACACGTTTTGATATTTCCTTTAGCATGAAACAGTTCTGTTGGTTGACATAGTCTCTCAGTTTTGGTTGTTTCAAATATCTTTAATTAACCTTTGTTTTTGAAGGCTATTTTAGCTGGGTGTAGAATTCTAAGTTGACAATTTTCCTTCAGTTTTTTGCAAGATATAGTTCTTTATATTCTGCATCCCACTCTTTCTTTTGAGAAGTCATCTGTGAACCTTAATATTACTTCTTTGAGATTACTTTGAGGATAATTTCTTTTCTCTGATTTAAGATCTTTCTTTTTTTCTTTGAGAGTCAGCCATTTTATGATATGGCTAAGAGAAGATTAGCCATACCATATATAATATATGTATATCTGCAAGTGTATGTATATTTTTATATTCATATTTGATAATCTAATTTCAGGAATTGAGGTAACTTGAATCTTTGCTGCACCCCTTGGTTCATTGTTATCTTTAGGGTATTGTTCTTTAGCATCTAAGTGGAGCAAAGGGTATTTTACTAGATTTACCTCCTACTTACTCTTCTGAGCTCTGGACTTCAGCATTTACTTTTAGGGCTCTTTGAGGCTCTCAAAAATGCTAATAAAGCTCTAAATCTCTTGGCTGCTTCTTCTAGAACTTGCAAAAGCCTCCCAGATGAAAAGCACCCCAAATACATGATTTACCTCTTGAGTTTCCAGCGGTTCTCAACCTGTGGGTCACGAACAATGAAAATACATCCTGCATATCAGATATTTACATTACGATTCATAACAGTAGCAAAATTACAGTTACGAAGCAGCAACGAAAATAATTTTATGGTTGGGGGTCACCACAACATGAGGAACTGTATTAAAGGGTCATGGCATTAGGAAGGTTGAGAACCACTGCTTCTTGATAATTCTTTAAAGCCCTTATTTTCTGGCCCAGCTTTTTAAAAAATTGCCTTTGGTGGAAGAGATTGTCTAGTTACTGGATCTATTATCACAGATTTGGTGGAGGGATTGTCTAGTTACCTGATCTAGTATCCCAGATTTATATGTTTGAACTACCTTTCCACCATACTCAGATATATTAAAAGATGGAGCTTTCTATGGCCAATCATTGTTCCCAGATTTTCTCATTCATCTCCCCCAGTCTATTCATGCACATAAAAACACAAGGTAATGCTTCCATCACCCATAGCAACCATGTCTACAAATAAAAATAATCAGGGCTAGGTCCTGAACAATTCTGTTTCCTAAAACAGTTTGGGCCACTTTTGAGATCCTTGGGCTATCAACCCTTGGAATCTCTTTTAGCTCTTTCCCTTATATCTTTTATCTTATGTAGGTTCTACCCAATCAGATCTTGCCAAGGATCAGAATCATTCTTTACCTCGAATTATGTTCTCCCAATCTATCCAGCAAAGTCAAAGGTAAGTATTATTTTAGTTTATAAATGAGGGAATTCAAGCAAAGGTAAATTAAAGTCACTGAGCAATAAGAGTCCAAGTTTGTTCTTTATTGTCATCCCTATGATGACTCTATTGTTTGTTTTTTAACTTCTTTTGTTCAAGCTGGCTTCCCATTGAGTTAGTTAAAAGCAATATGGACCTCCAAAAAGCTCAATGCACACTTTGAGATCAATTTTATGAATTCTTGGAATATCTGGTCATTCTTTTATAATATATTTGTTTACAAATTATTTGTTGAACACCTTGTATATGTTAGGCACTGAGGCACAGACATGGTGACATTCACTCAAATAGCAATTTAATCACTTAATTCATGAAAGGTGTAAGAAATCTTTCCTTCCTATCTTTGCAACGTTTTTTCCCCCCAGTTTCTTCTTATTTTATTTACTTTTTATTCTATTTATTTAAACTAAAAAGGTCCAAAACCAGTTTAAACACTGTTTTTTAATCACTTTATTTTACTGATTTTGGGAGGGGACTGTTTTCACAACTTCAGTTTATCAACTGAATGCTGAGGTGCAGAAAAAAAAATAATCAAAACCACAGGATATTTTAATTGCTTTAAAATCCATAAAGTTCTGAGTAGACAGCTCGGGGCAGAAATATACAAGCAAGAGAAAAAGTCTTCTTAGGTGGAGTCCTTGCCCACCCTACTACCATTCCCATCCCCAAGTCAGTAAGAGTGAGGAGAGAAATAAAATGAGCTCATTGATCTTTACTGCTTAAGGCTGGGTTTGCCAGCTGGCATGTCTTTCCTACTTACGTGTTTGCTAATTACAAACATCAAAATCATCATCATTATTATAATCAGGGCCTTTTTACTACTTAATATGTCTAAATACTTCCTGATTATTTTTCTAGGAACTTGGAGATCTGGTGCCTGCACTTCAGCTGACACGGCTGTGCTCTGGGCCAGGGGCCCCTCCCTCCGGCACTCTCTTCCAGGCAGTCCCTCGCATTTCCCAGAACAGGGAAAACAGGAAGCGCCACTTACATTAGGCGTTTCTGGACTTCGGGAGTGCAGTATATTGGAAGTAGAAGATATTAAATGATAACATTCTCTAAGAAGCCCAGAGCTTTACTAAAAACCACCCTCCTGAAGTCTATCCAGTTTGTAGCACTTCTTTTACGGAAACATGCCTGATTATTTCATTATTTCTTAAACTAATAAACTCTGGAGCATTCATGTGTAGGGGTCTTGGAAACAAGATTTGAACAGGAAATCTCCCTTCTGTAAAGGAAATTATTTGCATAATGTTCTGGAGAGAAAAATCTGACCCTGGAACTAAGAGTTGAGAAAAAAAAACAAAAACCCTTTTATGTATTTTTCTAGTTTTTGGAAAGAATTTTACTGGAGATATCATATTATTTTTTCTCTCCAAGTAAAGAGACACCAGAAGAAAAATAGAAACAGTAAACCAGAAGGATTACCACCTTAAAATATAATTTTGAGTTTTCCCTAAGAGTATTTGAAATGAATTATTTTATGTTTTAGATACTGCTTATACTAGTATCATACCAATAGATTTAATCATTCCTTTTCTGTTGATTAGTATTTCAGCAATATTCCCTTCAATTGCCGTGCATTTCTCTAGTTAACAACCCAGTTTTTCATAAAATGTATTAAAGTCATCTTAGTTTTTACACCACAGTTATAATATTAAATATCTTGCATCGCACTGAGAAGTCACTTGTTAAACAAATGCCCTCATGTCTTGGTTTCTTTTTATAAGCTGCTTAGCTTACATTATGTTGAATACATATATTCTTTGGAAAAACATTTAATCATTTGGCACATATTACT